CTCTTACACAAAATTCACTATCCAGTTTCAGGGGTTCAAAGAGCTCCTGAACACCGGCCCTGAACCGTTAAAAACCTCTTCCCTGGCCACTAAACTCTAAGGCAAGAGGGCATTCCCTGCATGTGACTAAGCACCTCACACCTCCCCAACTCCGGGTACCTGAAGTTAGCCATCTCTTGGGGTGGGGGTGGGGGGCAGCAGTATTATCTAGACTGGCCAAGGCTGAGCCTACCATGCAGGAAGGTCCTGGCTCCCTCCCTTCTCTGTCCCGCAATGGGCAGCACCTCTCAGCAGCTACATTTTGTTGAGCGGCCCCAGCAGTGCTCCAAAGCATCTCATCCTTCAACCTTTACAACAACCCTGTCATGCAGGGGCAGGTTTACATTTACCGATCAGGACACTAAGGTTCAGAAAGGCCAAGTTCCCTTCCCAACAAGGCCCACCAGCTGCCAGGCGTGACTGCTCACGCCCGGGGGCCTATCTGCTTGCTCCAGGCACAGCCCAAGAGCAAATGCCTTTCTCTAAATTGGTAGGAAGGGGCTGACATCCCAAAGCCCTTGGTGAAAGAGTTGCTAAAAATATTGGCTCACTGTGTTTGCTAACTGGGATTGCCTGCATTTCCATCGGCCTTCTGGCTTCCTGTGTGGAGAGGAAAAGGAGCATGTCACCTTTGGGAGGCGCACTCTTTCTGAAACTACAGAAAACACCCTGATACGGGGTTGGGGGTAGGGGGGTGTCTGATGAACGGCAACAGGAACTTAGGTCAATATGGAAATTGATCGCTGATACAGTATCATCTTGACTGTAGTCCCATAAAACTAAGAACACTAGGAGCCTAACATCTGTTTGGCTTTTTTTAAATATGGGTTGGGGAGCCAGCGTGGTGATGTCACTAGAGGACCAACCATTCACGGAGTGACTCCTCTGTGCCCGGCACGGTGCTAAGCCCTGGAGAGACAGGTGAGTGAGGCAGGGTCCTCCGGTCCACAACGAACTGCTCGAACTCCTCGATGGGCAGGGGAAGAGCAGGCATGTGACTAACCGGAATGACAAGGTGACAACTGCTTTACCAGCGATAGGACCACGGTGCCCAGCCCCAGAGAGCAGGAAGTGAGTAACGCTGGGAAAGGAGAGGCAAGGTCTTGGGGTGCAGAGGGGCTGGGTCAGGGCATGGTGGGCAGAGGGCCCTGCTGGGAATGAGGGCTGGCTGCCGGGCAGGAAGAAGTGCAGGATGTGAGCCATGAAAGGGAGGCGGTGGCCAGATTAGGAAGGCCTTTGTCATCTACGAGAAATCACTGAGAGGTTCTTTTCAGGGACAGAGGACTCAATTGCGTTGCATTGTTAGGAGATCGCTGCAGCAGCGGCAGAAAGGTAGACTCTGCCTGGAGAATCAGGAAGCAGGAAATGGGAGAGAAAACAGCCTCATTCATTTAAGTCAGGGCTGCGGAGGGCTGCGTTTCAGTTCTGATGGCCCTCGCGGATGCACAGAAACCAGCGGGGTCTGACAACATGCTGGATGTTGACAGACGAGGCAGAAAGCAGAAAAAGACGTGCCTCTGAGGTTTCCAAGTTGAGTAATTGGTAGAGGGTGATTCTGTTCAGAGAGGAAGCCGGGGAGGAAGGACTGGTTCCGGTGGGTAGACAGAGAGGCGACGAGGTGAGTGCTGGACAGGCCAAAGGAGCCGAGGTGAATGGTCTGCAGAGCAAAGCTTTAGAGAGTTGCAAGCATACAGCATGAACAAAAAGAGACGTGAAATGTAACCATATATACCTTGAGGAATATTGATGCATGCATTTAAAGGGAATTTAAGGAAGAAGAGCTAGTAAAGGAAACTGAATATGAACAACTAAATGCAGGCTGTGGACAAGACACCTTCCAAGAAGGAGAGTCAAATATCAAAAGCCAAAGAGAGGACCCCTAGCTGGTTTGGCTCAGTGGATAGAGCGTCGGCCTGCGGGCTGAAGGGTACTGGGTTCAATGCCGGTCAAGGGCACATGCCTGAGTTGTGGGCTAGATCCCCAGGAGGGGGTGTGCAGGAGGCAGCCGATCAATGATTCACTCTCATCATTGATGTTTCTATCTCTCTCTCCCTCTCCCTTCCTCTCTGAAATCAATAAAGATATATTAAAAATAAAAAATCCAAAGAGAGGAGAAGTGTGGTAGGCAGTTAGATAGACATGAGCAGAGCAAGGGCAATGGGCAAGTACAGAAGGTCACCAGGGTTGAAAGCCCCAGGTCCTAGCAACTGAAAAAACTGGGAAGCAAGGACCTCGCCCCCAGGGTAACCTAACCTTTCATCCCTATCATATCTCTGGCTATGCGGTCTAGGCCTCCTGACCTTTCATGACCCTGGTCATGCAGTTTGCATTCTCCCCTGACCTTTCCCCCCCTGGCATGTTGCTAGTCATGCAGGTTTGACCCCTTTAGAGGGGGAACAAACAAGCAGCCTGGAAAATAGCCATAAGCATTAAGCCCCCAGGACAGTGAGGCTCTGATCTGCATCAAATACATCTAGACCTCAGTTGTGTTTTAGCTCCAGGACCAGAAAAGCAGCAAAACCAGACAAGCAACACCAAGGCTGACCTCAGGACCAGCTGCACTGACTAATGGCAGCCTGCCCTGGTGCGGGCCAATCAGTGGCGATCATGATCCTGAGAGGACACACCTGGAAAGCTGATGAATATTCTATTGAGATCCTCCCCAGGACCTCCCCTAAAATCCCCACACTCGAAAGCCCTTAGGACTAAGGACGGGAGCAGGCCCACGCCTTTCATCTTCCCCTCTCCTTCCCCCAGGCGCATTACCTTCACCCTTCTCTCTCCTACCTCCACGGCCCCTTCTTTTGCCTCTGTAACTTGTCTCCTGAGCTCATTTCTTCTACTGTTCACTTCTTCTACCTCTGTGACTTTCTAAATAAACTTTTTTTTTTTTTTTATAGTTTGAGTCTTGGCTCTGAATTCTTTCTTTGCTAGACCTCTAGTACCCAGGTTGCTGAACCCAGGTCCCATCTGGCCCCAGGTCCCATCTGACCCTATGGGTCTAACACCTGGTGCAGTCCTGGCTGCCGCCAACAGGAGGTCCTGGATCAGGCAGTTAGAAATTCCTGACCGACTTTTCAATTGCAGGAGAACCTCGCGGGATTGGGAGTGGAGACAGAAAGTTATGCGACTCTTTCAAGAATGTTGGCCAAGGGCAGAAGGAGGAGAGGCCACCCATCCTCACGATAAAGCTTTTGCTTTTCTGTAGTGTGTGATCTAGTACCTGCCAAGGCACGTGACCCCGCCAGACCCACCACTTCCCTCGGGTGTCTGAGGGAGGCCGGAGAGCAGGGTGTGTACACGCAGAGGTCAACATCCAGAAGTGGCTGATGTCGATGCCGATGGCTGGCTTTGCCAAGCATTAGTAGTTCAGGACTTAAATGGTCCTGAAATGTGGGGTGAAGACAACTGCTCAGCAGTACAGTGAGATATTGAGACTTAAATGGCCAATAAGAAGAGAACTGTCTGGTAAGAAAACACAAAACCGAAAGTGAAAGTGTTGTGGTTCGTTTTTATAATACCTAGTTTAAGGTTCTGGAAAGCAGGCAATCTCCGACACTACTGCTGAGGATTTAAATTGGCACAACCTGATCCACAAGTCACCGAAAAACAACTTAAAAGCTCATGTGACATTGTGATTTTAGTAAAAAGTATATATGGTTTTCATTGGTTCTTGCACAGAGCTCCTAAAACCCTTGGAATTTCCTAAGTGAAGAGACTGGAAAAGGTGTCTTTTGTTATGTTAATGAAGCGACTTCTGGAAAGCCCCTAGGTCACCTAAGGATAGGAGCTGGTTGCCAGGGCGATAAGCCTTGTGATTGGAAGGGAGAACTTTCAGTCCCGCCCTCCAGGATGGGGGAAGGAGGCTGGAGCAGGAGATTGAATTCAATCACCAAGGGCCACAGATTTAACCAATCTTGACTCTGTAATGAAGCCTCCGTAAAAACTGGAGGACGGGGTTTGGAGAGCTTCCAGGTTGGTGAACGTGTGGAGGTGCTGCGAGCACTTGGAAACTCCTTCAGCTTCTCTGTGCATCTCTTCCATCTGGCTGTTCCTGAGTTACATCTTTTTATAATAAACTGATAATCTAGTAAGTACGATGTTTCTCTGAGCTCTGTGAGCCACTGTAGCAAATGAACCCAAGGAGAGGGTTGTGGGGACCCCTGATGTTTAGCGAGTCTTTCAGAAGCACAGGTAACAACCTGGACTTGGGATTGGCGTCTGAAGTGGGGGACAGTCTGGTGGGCCTGAGCCCTTAACCTGTGGGATATGACGTTAACTCTAGGTAGACAATGTCAGAATTGAGTTGAAATGCATGACACCCAGCTGGTATCTGAAAATTGTCTGATGGGGGGTGTGGGGGGCAGGGGACTCACACACTGGAATAGAATTGGAATCAGAATTGTAGTGCTCATTTAGTCCAGCAATTCTGCTTACACAAACGTAGCCTATAAAAGTCATAATGGATATCTGCAAAGGTTTATTTACAAGAATGTTCTCATAGCTTTCTTTAAAAGAGTAATAAACTGGAAACAATGTAAATGTCCAATAATAGGGAATTGGTAAACATATATCTCCATAGAATGCAATACCATGCAGCAATTTAAAATGTTGGGTACATCGTCAGATCCAGAGCCCCTCCCAGGCAGCTAGCAACGGGCCTCTGTCCTGTGTTGTAGCCTCACCAGGAAGCAGCGAGCTTGGCCAACACCCGGTTCGCCGTGGACCTCTTCCGCACACTGAAGGACAACAGCCCCTCTGGGAACATCATCTCCCCCGTGAGCATTTCCTCAGCGCTGGCCATGGTCTTTCTGGGGCCAGAGGCACTACCGAGGCACAGATGTCCAAGACTCTTCACTTCGATGCTGTTAGGAGATTCCAGTTTTCAGAGTCTGAATGCTGATATCAACAAGCATGGAGCTCCCTATATTCTCAAACTTGCTAATAGGTTATAGGAGAGAAAACCTATGAGTTCCTCCCTGAGTTCTTAGCTTCGACCCAGAAAATGTATGGTGCTGAACTGGCCAGTGCAGATTTTCAGTGAGCCTCTGAAGATGCAAGAAAGGTGATAAACGAGTGGGTCAAAGGGCAGACTGAAGGGAAAATTCCAGAATTGTTGGCTGCAGGCGTGGTTGATAATATGACCAAACTTGTGCTAGTTAATGCCATCTATTTCAAAGGAAACTGGCAGGAGACATTCAGTAAAAAGGCCACAACTGATACACCATTCAGATTGAATAAGAAAGACACAAAAACAGTGAAAATGATGTATCAGAAGAGCAAATTTCCATTTGGCTACATCAAGGACCTGAAGTGCCGGGTGCTGGAACTGCCTTACCAAGGCAGGGACCTCAGCATGGTCATCCTGCTGCCAGATGCCATCGAGGACGAGGCCACGGGTCTGAAGAAGATCGAAGAACAATTGACCCTGGAAAAACTGCAGGAGTGGACCAAACCTGAGAATCTGAGTTCCATTAAAGTCAACGTCCACCTGCCCAGGTTCCAGCTGGAAGAGAGCTACCACCTCAACTCTCACCTGGCCAGCCTAAGTATAGAGGATCTCTTTAATAGCAAGACTGATCTATCTGGCATGGCAAGAGCCAGAGATCTTTTTATATCAAAAATTATCCACAAGTCTTTTGTGGAAGTTAATGAGGAAGGCACAGAGGCAGCGGCTGCCACAGATTTTAGTGGTGGGTTGCGTGCTTATGCCAGAAACTGAAAATTTTGTGGCCGACCATCCATTCATTTTTTTCATTCGACACAATCCCTCAACTAACATTCTGTTCTTAGGCAGACTTTCTTCCCCTTAGAGACTGTGGAAACCCAAGGTCAAGCTCAGAGCTGTATCACTGGCCCTTTCAAAGATATATGAAAGTTATATATCTTCTACAATAAATCTACCACCCCCCCCAAAAAAAAAAATCTGTAACTTCCTTCGTAATGTCAGCTCTGTGGGCTGTTTACACCCATTAACTTTGGGATAGGTATCTATTTTCCTTTTTTTATATTGAAAAATTTAGTGATTGCTTTTGAATGCACCAAGCAGATATGTAGACTCTTGACAGTGTAGTAAACGAAGAAACTGCTGTACTCTTTTTTTTTTTTTTTTTTTTTTTCCGGAACACCTTGTCACACCACTGATTGAAGCAAAGCAACACAACACACTGTCGCTTCACCCAAAAGCAGTGTTTTTCCTTTGCCCTTTCTTGACAGCTCAGTGGTGCTGTACTGTCTTGATAGCCATGAGAAAAATTATAGTACTGTAAATTGTTTCACAGATAGACTTCTGGAAGCAATCACAGAGAGACAGTCATTGCTGAAGGGAGGCTTAAAAACAGACATTCAATTGAAATATAGGAGAGCAGCCCAATTAAGGGTTGGATTATGAAGATAAATTTGCTTTGGCCAGTGTTTCTGACCCTTTGTTCTACAGGATTAGTGTTCTGTTATAGCCCCTCTGATTTCAAATGATTAAAGAGCTTATTTTCCTTTAAAAAAAAATAAAATGTTGGGTAGATGACTATTTAAGAACCCAGAAAAGTGTTTACAATACATTATTAAATTAAAAAAAAATTCCCAAAAGATAATGAGTATGTTAAATGTGTATGTATGTGTGTGGATGTGTATATACATACTCACACATGCACTTATACTAGTATATACTCAAAAGACTGGAAGATTGTACATCAAAATAGTAACCCATACAAATGACAGACTGGAGAATATGCACCAAAAAGGAACAGTAAGAAATTTCTGGGTAGTATAATGATGGTAGTTTAAATTTACCTTTTGTTTTCTAAAATATTTATGTATAGCTTTTGTAATTAAAAATTACTTTGAACATAATGAAAATAGTTTAATATAACAAAAGTGCTTCATATAACAAAAGTCTTTTTAAATATAAAAGTAATAGAATCTGATCATTAAAAATTAAGGAAAAATTAAGTGTTCTATGCCCCTAATTCTTCGAAATCAAATTTCCCGTAGGAAATCACAAATAATTTTGTTATATCGCTATAGACTTTTTCTATATAAATATATGTACACTTTTCAAAGTAATTGAAAACTTGTTTTTTATTTTAGCTAAAGTGGAAGGCCAGGTCAGAGGTCTGCAAACTTTTTCTGTAAAGCTCAATAGTAAATATTTCAGCTTTGTGGTCAGTCTCTATTGGAGATTAGTCAATGCTGCCATTATAGTGTAAAAGCAGCCATAAAATAATATGTAAACAAATGAGCATGGCTGTTTTCCAATAAAACTTTATTTACAAAAACAAGCAGTGGGCCAGACTTGGCTCATGGGCCATAGTTTTCAGACCCCTGGACTTAGGTGAACAAATAAACAAAATGCCAACTTTCTGAGCCTGCTGGCCAAAGAAGACAGCTTATTTGGTTCCTGTTCCATGTTTACATCAGCTGCAGTTCCAATGTCCATGTTTTTGGGTTGCCACATAATACTTCTTCCTGTTCAACATCAGTAATAATGATGCCCTTTTACTTCCTGATTTACCCACGTTCAACGTAGGGTCCACATAGCAAGGGCCACCCCACCAGGCTATGTGGATGTGAGTCCCATACCAACCTACTAGGATCAGCCACTCTGGTACCACTCATTGAGCACTCACTGTGGGCAAAGCACTGGGTTGCTATTGTAGCCTCATATCATTGTGATCAGGGCCCGTGTCTTGTACACTTTGTATCTCCAATGTCTGGCCCAGTGCCCAGCACATATGGCTCTCAAAAGTAGAGATGAATGAATGAATGAATGAATGAACTATAAGCTAAGAAAGGATCCTCAGGCACGGCAGCTTGGTAATGAAAAAAGTGCAGGCACATAGTAGGTGTTTCATAGACACGAGTCTCCTCAGCGCAGCGGTTCTCAACCTGTGGGTCGCGACCCCTTTGGTGGTCGAACGACCCTTTCACAGGGGTCGCCTAAGACCATCCTGCATATCAGATATTTACATTACGATTCATAACAGTAGCAACATTGCAGTGATGAAGTAGCAACGAAAATAATTTTATGGTTGGGTCACAGCTTGAGGAACTGTATTTAAAGGGCCAGAAGGTTGAGAACCACTGCCTTAGCATCTGTACCAAACAAACTAGTGCTTTAGAAATGTGCTCCTCAAAGGCCTATATAAATTGGAATCACTTGGGCTTCATATTAAAATTAAGGTTTTGATTCAAGAGGTCTGGGTTGAGGCCCGAGATTCTCTGTCTAGCCTTTTCAGGGGATGCTGATTCCGAGGTAACAACTGAGCACTACATGCCTCCCCAAAGCCTCAGTCCCCCGCCCACTGCTCCTTGGGAAGCTGAGTGATGCTGGGCAAGAGAAGAAGCCCCTGTCAAGATGGGCCTCCCAGGGAACCCCACCTGTACAGTCCTTCATGGCCCAGAATTAGGTCCTGTTTTACAGATCTAACAATTCCGTTAGTCAGTCCTTCTGGCATAACGAGACTATCCTGACCACAAAGCATTCTGGAGGCTTCTACTGAAAAAGAAAAGGCAGACTGAAGGAATTGACCAAGACAGGTCAGACTGCTCTTTCCTCCTCTTCCGCTCCAGAGAGAGTCCAGCATTTCAAGTGGCCACACCTCGAGGAGCAGAGCAAACTCCAGAAGACAGAGCCCAGTGTTGCTACCCCGGAGTTCAATTCCAGGGGAGGAAGGGCACCCAGGCCTCCTGATTTAGGGAGCCAGAGCTCTCTGGGGCAGATGGATGCATACGTCAGAGTATAGGGAGGCCAGTGAAGTTGTTGAGAGAGATGTCAGGGACGGGTACTAGAGAACAGGGAAACAAAGGCAATCCAAAAAGCAGGGCCCTGGGCCCTGGGCTAGTCAGCAGACAGGCCACACACGGGGGACTGTCCCTGAGGAGGACAGGCACCCATGGCCCTTGGGACACCAGCACAGACGCAGAGACAGTCTCCAGATCCACACACTAGTGGGGAAGAAGCTAACACACTGCCATCCAGGACTCCAGTCTGGCCTCCATCCAGCCGCTGTAGGTGATTATTGCTGACAGCTGTGACTGGCAGAAACTATCACAGAAGCCATCAGGTAATGCCAGGTGGAATCCTGTAAGCCAAGCATGTCAAACCCACGGCCCGTGGGCCACATGCCTTACTTATTTGGCCCGTGTTAGCCTTTGAGTTTGACATGCTTGCAAGCCATCTCAACTAGTTTATCATAAGGAACATCACTGCCCACCGTGACAGGCAAGCCTTCACACCCTCTTCCTGGTGGTGGAAGCTGAGCTAGTATCCTGAGGAGGCTACATAGACCAGGTCCTCGGGGTCTGCATAGGTCCCGTCAAGTTTGTCCCTAGCTCTACCAAGCTCCCAGAACTCACACCTCAGCCAGGACGGAGCCCCTGGGTCTTGGTTGGCCACGTAGGAAATTCAAACCATTGTCTCTTTCCTAGACTTAAATACGACCACACGCCCTCTGTTTTCATTGCCATTAACACCCCAACTCTTCCTTGTTTCCCTGTTTTCATAGCATGTTGTGCGTTCCCAATGTCTCAGAATATTTTTCTTTAGTTCCATTTTGAGCTGGATGACTCCTAATTAAGTTCTCTTTGTTTCACCAACAAACTGCCCAGGAATGTTCAAATAAGCTGTCCCCTTCTCGGATATAATTTGTGGGCTCTTTTTAACATTGCTGAGTCAGATACTATTTATTAAGCACTTATTTGACTCCTCAAATGATCCTAGGCACAGCAGATGCAAATATAAATAAAATATTCAGTTCAGAAGGGACTCTTGGTCCAGGGAGGGAGACAATTATATAAACAAGTATAGATCGTGCAGCTACAATAGGGGCAATAATGGGGTTTCGTCCAAAGCACTGTGGAGTTCACAGTGGTGCAAAGGATGCCACCCAGAGAACTTGGCAAGGGAGTGAGTCACTGGAGATGCAGCAGCTTTGGGGTTAAAGCTGGGTAGATACTGAGTGCACCCATTCTAAGACTACACGCTTTCACATTTCCACACCTCCACATCAGTATGTGTCATACCGTTGCTGGTGGCCAGGTAAGGTGGGTAATCGTGTCATAGTTGTCGTTGCCTGGCATTATCAGGCACAATCAGAAATGCATTGGCATCAAAACTTGCAGAATAGGTGTGACCAGCTTGGGAGAAAATTTCAGAGACCATAATGGTGCACTCTTAAGAAATGCAGTACTATCCCCAAAGAACCAGATGGCAGAGAGGGTGATGCTGTGTGGAAACAAGAATTAAAAAGTGATCAGGGATAAAATGTTTAGCAATTAGATAGTGGTAATGGTTGCATAACCATGTAGTAAACTGAAAACCCCAGAATTGTACCCTCGGAAAGGGGTGAATCTTATGCTGTGTGATTATAGCTCATTTTTTTATTTTTAGGTGGGAAAAAGTTTGGGAAGATTAGGAACATTCTAGAGATAGATGTTGGTGATGGTAAGTACGATATGAATGTGCTTAATGTCACTGAATTGTACTTATAAATGATTAAAATGGTAGATTTTATATGAGATATGTTTTTTAATATATTCTTATTTATTTCAGAGAGGAAGGGAGAGGGAGAGAGAGATAAAAACATCAGTGATGAAAGAGAATCATTGATCGCCGGCTGGGCCTCAGTTAACTCTTTGAATCTTCATTTACACTCTAAATAGTTCAGTTAGTAAATAGTTCAGGTAGAAGGACAATGTGAGCTCCTCATTTTTGTCCTTCAAACA